AGTGGCTTTAGCTTCTTAATGCTGTGCTCTAACCATTGCAAACTTAGTATTCAAATAGTGTCATACAGGTTCCTGGTCTGGCTAAGTGTGTAGAGAGCATCATTTCTGCCTCACTGTTTTGCACAATGTAAGTGTGGTATGTCAGGGGCCTCTCTGGGTAGAACTCACTTTCTGTTTCAGTGCTAGCTGCCCTGAATGCTATGATTCTATTGTAAATGCTAGCAGTAGCTGTTGAAATGATGAAAAAGAAATAGGCCTAGTCTCACTGGTCATCTAAAGAAACACATGAAAATTTCCTAATAATTACAGATTTATCTTATTTTAAAAATAATCAATCATAATAAAAATATATAAGAACATGATTTCATAGAATTAAAAAAATCTTATCTTGTGCTTAAAATATGGAAATGAAATATTTTCCTAATAAGTCAAATAATATCTGTTTCAATAAATTTATGCATACTTTACTTTGTTGCAAAAGGTAAATTTTAAATGACAAGAGACAAATGAAAATTTAGTTATGAAATTAATAAAGTTAAAAGAAGGGGGAAAAAAGCCTGGGTTGTATCTGTTGATAAATCATTCATAGTTATTCACAATTTTTATAGAGGTGTAAGAGTAGCCTTCATGGCTCCCTGCTCTCTGAAGATGCCAGACAGATCCTCCAGCTGAAAGGCATCAGCCCAGACTAAGCCAAGGCAGCCGGGTAGATTTGATGATCAACCTGGTGCAAACAGGTTGGGTTTTCAAGAAAAAAAAAAAAAAGAGATCTTGAAAGAGAAGAAAAACTAACACCACAACTTTGAAGATGTAGGGGTAAGTTTTAAAGCAGGTCAGCATCATTCAGATACAGCAGAGCTTACCTGCCCAGAGGCGGGTCCCACGGTGCAGGCAGGTTGGATGCACTGGTGTGGTTTCAGTTTTGAATCCTGAGATGGTTTTCAAAACAGGTAAAGTTCGATCTCCCACAGACACCAGTTAGGTTCAAACTTACACAAGGACCAATCAAGTCTTGGAAACGGCTGGTTCGGAACTTGGACCAGTCAGATTTGGAACATGGTTACCCTGAAAGGGGATCAAAGTGGAGGCTTGGCTTAGCTTGGAAGAGGCTTCCATTGGCTTAGGAGGGGCTTCAGGAGAGACTCATTTTCAATAGGAGACACAACTTCTGAGAAAGACTGTGCTTCCTTTGCACACCTTCAAAATATTCACTCTAGCTGCATTCATTGGGAGTACTACTGGCTTATGCCTGGCACTTCCGGGATCTGTACCATAGTCCAGTGTCGGGCGCTGCCCAGCCCAGCTTCAGATTACTGCCACGCTGCTGCGGTTCTGCCATCAGTTCAGGCTCTAACAGGAAGGACAACACTACCTTGCAGGAGCAGCTTTTGGTCAGGATTACTGGGCACTATCTGGGTTAGGACAATGTGTAAGCAAGCACAGGGCAGGGCTACTGTCAATTCAGGGGATGGATAAAGAGAATTGAGGATCCCTTGGATTTTTTAGGCTTTAATGCTCTTTCAGTGAACACAGGTATACCAGGCAGGCAAGCAAGTAGGCAGGCATAGACGAGGCAGTGGGGGCTGGGAGGCAGACAGGCAACTGAACCTCCCAGAACCTTTACGTTCTGTCTCGAGGCTCTCTCTGATGCGCTCTCTCAGCCATCTTCCCACAGCCGCTCATAACGGAGTGATGCGCCTTTTATAGCCTTGCCCTCTAGGCACAGGTGTGCACACTCACGCATGCGTGCATACCTATAATCCAGGTGGCCACATCAGGCATGTGTGCCTCATGCCCATGTTCCCAAGCACCTCTGTGTCGACAAATCAGGACCACAGGTGACAGTTATAGATACTATTGTCGCAAAAGCCTGATTAATTCTATTTACCCTACAGATAACCATTCATTTGTGGTCTTAGAAACATTTTCCTTTTTCCCAATTTCCCCTTGTAAATAGAAAAGTATGATCTCCCCCAGGCACCAATTAGGTCCAAGCCCCCTGAGCTTAAGCCAAATCTTGTAATTGTGAGTGCACAGGTGAGAACCCACAACCATGACAATCTCCCGAGCTCCGTTCAGTTTAAAAAGTGAACAAACATATATCTGAAGAGATGTGAACCTATACCCTTCACTCATGCACAGTGATGTAAACCATCATTACCTCAGTAAAATAAGTAAATAAATAAATACAAATAAAATAAAAATAAACCCACAAGCTCCAGTAATTATCTAGAGGACACCATAAGTGAAAAATTCTTCAGTTGTAGTAACCACAGGATCTTAAGAAAATCTACTCAGAAATAGTATAAATATTGGAACTAAGGACTGAGAAAATTCTCCTGTATTCCATGTAGAGAAGCCACTATAATATAGAGAGTCATATAACCAAACAATTTCTAAAAAGCCATAAAGCTTCACAGGATGTTTTTACATTCCCACTAAATGTCCACATATGTTATAGAGCAGGCTGTTAGGGTTATTAGTCTTACTATTTTTATGTGTATACAGGATATCCCTTTTGAAATTAAACCTTGTTGCTATATAGGAGGACAGAAACTGCAAAGGTTTATTTGACTATTTTAATAGCTAATCACTATATTAGGTGTCACATGGGTCTCCTCTGTTAGTTATGCCAAAGCTCCCCAAAGTAGAGAACAAAACAAGAGCAAACTTGCTCTTATATTTCAAAGTGAAATGTTTGCCTACCTAGATGGGACAGGAAAAGTATTTGTTAACATTTGGTGGGTGATTCTCAGACCAACCACTCCTTTCTAGAGTACAGTTTTTTTTTGTTTAGTTTTTTTTTTTTTAAGATTTATTTATTTATTCATACAGAACTGGGGTACAGGCCAGAGAGGTGGAGGGTGATAGGATTCACCAGGGACAGAGCGGGGAGCAGAACAGGCAGATCTATGAAGTACACTGCTGAGGGGAGCAGCGGGTGGGCCAGGAGAGGTCTGTCGCACCATGCAGTCACCTCTGGGGCAGGTAGGTATCAAACTCATGCGGAAGTGGCTTTAGCATCTCTGGGGCAGGTAGGGATCAAACTCATGCGGAAGTGGCTTTAGCTTCTTAATGCTGTGCTCTAACCCGCTGCGCCACCAGGGAGGGCCTCTAGGGTATAGTTTTAAAAAACTCAGAAAAGACAGATGACAGAGATATTAAACCACCTTTCCTTTGAACTATTCAAAGTACTATGGTATTTTTTTCTGATCCCCATTGGGAGAGAAAAAAGGAAGGATTTTGGGCTATGATTTCCAAGTAGGTGGATAAAAATTTAATAGGTTTAGAAAGCTTGTTCCTGGGAGCTTGGGGAACGGAGCTGATTTGTAGACCCCCAAAATTCTGAGACAAAGTCAGTGAGCCTGCCCACTTAACAATAAAGGAAAATTAAGTAGCCATATTAGAAACCAGTAGTGCTTCCAAAGACAACTGAGAAGATGCTTGTTTCTCATGTTTAAAATAAATATCAATCATGCAGGAGTACGCTAACTGAGGTAGTTTCATCCATGATCAAGGGGAATCAGTACAGAGAAGACAGAGATATATCTCAACCTTACCCCTAAGACCCATTTCCAAACACCATAGCACAGGGAGATTTAAAGCTTCATTTCCGAGGGGGCCAAAACCTAAAACTAACGATATCCTACTCTTATTTTCCTTAAAACAATTCCAGTAAATCTCTTTGTCTAATAGGAAGTGTTGGAAGGAGCAAGAAGGCAAAATGGATCTGGAAACTTACAAATTACAAATTAATAAACATGAGATGCCTAACCTTAGTTGGACTCAGAAAATGATTTCAATAAATAACTGAATAAAACAAACAGCATGAAAGACTCAGACATTTGAAAGATTTTAGCTTAGAGAAGAGTATGGTTCTAATGTTTTATAAGTTTGTAAAACTTACCCAAAAAATGTAATTCTTTAGGAAATATTACTTTCCAAGGAATCCTCCAAAAATCCATCAAACTAAATTAAATTAGGTGACATATGGTATAATTTTTTCACGTTGAATTGGCTGAATACTGAGAAACATTATTTTAAATATTGGCTAGTATTCTGGAATAACATACTTGAAAGCCATTATGTCTGATCTTTAATATACACTTCTTAAATTATTTGTTGAACTGTAATTGCTCAATAAATGAATGACAGATCTATTTGTCAATTTGTTTGTGACTTGCAGAAACATCAATAAAAGGAATAAACAAGATCTCCCTGGGGTATATATTCAGGTAAGAAGGGTAAAAAAGAGGAAGGAGAAGTACATAGAGAGGAAATAAAGTTAAAGGCTTAAAATAATAATTGAAAGTAATTTTAGATCTATGCTATTCAATATATTAGGTTCTACTTACATGTGACTCCTGATCACTTGAAATACGGCTTTTAAAATATCATTTGGTTTTAATAAATTCAAACTTAGTTATATTTGCCTAGTAGATATTATACTAAACATTGCAGTTCCAGAGAGCACTGGGTGCTGGAAGAAACAAAACATAGCAAAGCAACTTGAGAGTCAGAAGGGAGTAAACAACAAAGAGATTGCTTTTTTGCCCTATTCTGAATAACATGAAAATTACATATTCAACACTGATATATGAGGATCTAGAAAAAGAGAAGAGTAGATGCAAAAGCGCCCTAAAGCAGAATGCATGAATATAGAGACAACTGAGTGTGACAATTTGAAAGGAAGCCATGTGACTTAAAGCTTAACAACAAAAGAGTGAGAGGATATAAGGCTGAAGAGGTCAAGTAACCATATATATTCATAATATCAGATTTTTCAATATAACTTATTAGCTTTTTTCTAAGAAATCATGAATAATCTGAACTGTCTATTTACTTCAAAATCAGTAGTCTGCAACATGTTTTTGAACATAGAAACAAGCCAAGTAAAAATTTGGAATGCATTATTGTGTTCCCCTGACTTTTTCAACAAGAGGAATAAATTTGATTGGAGGTAGAAAAAGTATATTTTGAATTTAAATTCTTTTCATGTGAAATATAACATTTACTATGTTCTTATCTAGGTCTGTAATGTTGGGAAAATATATTGTTGATTCTTTTGTAACAATGAAAGAACAAAATCTCTGAGGCTAACCAGAGAGAGCCATGATACTAGAGTTAGTAAAGATAAGTATTGGCAAGGGCAGACATTTATAGAATTGAATTACACTGGGAGTGTTGTAGAGACAGAACATTTTTATAGGCTATGTTAATTGGTAGGAAGTCTAATCAACTGTGCTAAAGGAGAAAGAATTGTTAGTTGTAGTCTGCAAAGTTCAAAGTAAATGACTTTGGAATGCAAAGCTAGAAAGAAGAAAAAACAATTTTCATTAGCGAACTAGGTTCTAGACACCAAATTCATAGCTCGGTAACTGCAGAAGAATCTTGTTGTCAGAACTAAAGTTTTACCTGGTCACCTCACAATGATGTATTGGCTATGGATGTATCCAGACAATGGCATAGATACTTTTATTTTAGCATGGGCCCAGATAGACACTTTTCATATTTATTTTTCACATACATTCAGAAACTTGACCAGAACTAATTTTATGTTGCTTATTCCACTCAATATATTTTAACAAGCAGAAACAAGAACTTTTGAATCTCCCTTTTCTGGACATAAATAAAACTTTTGTTTTGAAAAATTCATTGAAATTAAATAATAGGGCAAAGAAACTTCTTTCTCATGGCTATAAGTTTGGTTTGGTTTTTCATTTTTTTAAAGATTTATTTATTCATACAGAACTGGGGGACAGGCCGGAGCTCTGGCGGATGAGAGGATTCACCAGGGACAGAGTGGGGAGCAGAACAGGCAGATCCACGAAGTACACTGCTGAGGGGAGCAGCGGGCGGGTCAGGAGAGGTCTGCCACGCCATGTGGTCACCTACGGGGAAGGCGGGAATCAAACTCATGCGGAAGCGGCTTAAGCTTCTTAGTGCTGTGCTTTAACCGGCTGCACCAGGGAGGGCCCTTGGTTTGGTTTTTATTAAGTTTTGTAATAAAATTCCCTAATTCTACAAATCAAACCTTCTTAGAGGACAACTATACCAAGGTTGAA